AGATTATAAAGTCTAATGAGAACACATAGCTCTCCAGAAAAGTTAGCTGTTAGAGAGTCTAGCTCTATCCGTTTAAACTCCATCCTAAAATATTCCCAATCATCCTATTATGAACAGGGCTGAGAAAATTCTGCTGTTGGTAACAATAAATACTTTAAGGGAACTCGAAAGATTCTTTTTTTAAATAATTTCTTACATATTTTCTCTGGCACAAAAGCCTGTAGGAGCAACGTAAGTTCTGTGTTAGGTTATTTTTCCTAGGGAACAAATAGAAAGTTGGAAAACCCTTCATCCACCGAAGTCACTGTATTCTTAGTTCTGATATGTTATGATACAATGCATCTCTATGCAGAAAACAGTTACACAATCAAAATTACGTAAGCATAAAAGGATTATTGTTGCTAACCAACTAAGTATAGGGACATACTTTCTATTTCAGTTATAATATGTATTGCAAGTTTCGTATCAAGTGGCAATAGAAGGGCAAATTGAACCTCCAGCCTGTGATACCTCCCTGTCCAATGTTTTGAAGCAATTCCCACACAGCAGTATAGATTCACTCATCACAAAAGCTTTCAACAGAACTTGAGGCAATGAAAGTCTTTTATTAATAACTGTATGCTTCACTTTACCCTAATATTACCTAAACTGTGGCAGCCCTCAGCACTGAAACGTATACTGCCATTTGCTATTACTCTGTGTGCTTTTGAATGTAAGTGAAAATAAACAGTTTTAGGGTTAGAATGACAATAAATAACAATTAATTTGCTGGGGTAGTGTTTCTGAGAAAGAAAGGCCAAACTATATAAGGAAAAGTCAGCTCTCTGTCCATCCATTCCTAGATAAAAATATATGATTTATGTGAATGTGTACACATATATATGTGTATGCACTTGTATATATATTCACACAGAGAAATAAAAACATTTCAAAGAAGTAGTTTCAATTAATTGAAATATATCAGATGTCATGAGAATGTTACCAATGAACTTACGTTCCTCTTGAGTCATTATATCAATACTCTGAACAAGAGTCTTCTAATACAGTTGATCTCACAAATAATTTAAATTCTTTTTTAGATTTCCATAGTAAAAATAATGTTTCACTATTACAATGGAAGTAGTATCAGTCAGTAACATTAACTTAAAAACTTAACTTTAATATTTCCTGAGTTTTGGAGTATTTGTCAATACAACACGAATTTCTGTTGATGCAGACTTTTTTTTTTTTTAATGCAGAATTCATAATAGTACTCATTATTTGCTTCTCCATGTCTTGCTAGGCCATTATTTGTGTTATCTGTGGTACATGACCTGCAAAGACCCAGCAAGGTAGACACCTTTATTTTGCTCATGAATAGCAGAGGGGATTCATAAAATACTTTAATCACAGAATCACAGAATGTTAGGGATTGGAAGGGACCTCAAAGGATCATCTAGTCCAATCCCCCTGCCGGAGCAGGATCACCTAGATCAGATCGCACAAGAACGCGTCCAGGCGAGTTTTGAACATCTCCAGAGAAGGAGACTCCACAACCTCTCTGGGCAGCCTGTTCCAGTTAATATATATTTCCTGGGAAGAAATGGGGTATGTTAGATATACTTGGTATGAGAAGTGTATTTTCGTTATTACACTCAAATAGTATAAAATACAATTAGCAGTCTTTGGATTTTATTGATAATAGCTAATAAGAAAAAAGATCATGATTATGTTGGATAAGATCGTAAACATTACTGGTTTGAGGATAGATTTAAAACATGCATTTGAATTATATTTGCAGGATTTTGATTACATTATCAGAATTATGATTAGTGTTGAAATACATTTAAACCGAAGAATGATTACTGTGTTAACTAGGTCTTTGCACTGATTAATTTCACTGATTTTTAAAGAAAATGTGATAGTGGATCATGAACAAAATCCAAACCCCTACAATTCAGGCCAAATACTGATGATGTTTTCCATAAGCTCCTCTATAGAGGGACGGCCTTTACTGAAGTAATTAAAACAAGCAGGATTAGCCTCTTCATTGAAATTGCAATATATTTCTTTTACTGCAGAGCACTTGAATTTTGCTGATACTTGATTATATAAGCAGCTGATCAAAAGATTTACCTATCATCGGCCCAGCTTCCTAGTCTGGGTCCAACTACAGTCACAATGGATATCAATCATCCTCAGGAGTTCATAAACTGTTTATGTGGGTCTAGTTAACAGGTGGCCAGGAATCATAAGTTCTGTTGCGAGCATTCTGACAGATGAAGACAAGTTAAATAAAAGAATCCGCTCCACTAAAAAGAAGGTATTTTACAATGAATCATTATTATTTACAACCATGATTAAAAATGAGCATTACTTGCCTCGTC